CCCCAAAACCCCAAAACCCCAAAACCCCATGCCAAATAAATAGCTGGAATAATATTAATATTATTAAAATGAATTCGCTGTGTATCCTACTCTTATCTATCATGGCTGTTGCAGCCAATGTATGCCAGAATGATGCCCAGACTGCAGGATCTCCTCTCTCAGGAAGTTTCGGAATTGGAGGAGCTACAGAAGTTTATCTTGCAGATATTTTTGACGATCAAACTAATGAAATACTCTATTTTGTTGGTTATTTTGGCTCATCTATTCCATATGATACGATAATATACAAGTCTAACCCTGATCTGACTACAATTCAAGTGATGACTTATAATATCTACTGCAACTACCGTTCCTACGCCATATCTCCAAACAGGGATTTCATCTACATCCAAGACCAAACAACGGATAAGGTATTTGAGATCAAGACTTCAGACTTGACCATCTCCAGAGAGTTGGGAGTTAGCTCTACCTCAGTTTCTTTTACCTCAAATATGGATGTTACAAAAGGATTCTATTTCAGCTTCACCCAGAGCTCAATTATTCACACTTGCAGATGGGGAATGCTCAATCCCAATCTCGACTGATTCACTTTCGGAGTCAACAAGCAAATAAGCTTTGCTGGAGTCAGTGAAGAATTACTATTCTTTGGGTCAATTGATACAGCAGCCGACCAGTATTACCTTGTGAACTACAACTTCTCCTCATCTAGCCTGGTCTGGAAGAAAAGTATTGCCTGTCCCACTTCTAACTGAGAAATCAAAATAAGCAACTCTCTCCTAAGCAGAGATGAAAAATGGATCTACACAACTGTGCTGTACGACTTAAACTTTATTTTCCATAAGCTAAGCATAGCTGATGGGAGTCCTCAAACCTCAGGGTTGATTTGGAACGACAGTGGATATATGCATAGCTATTTAATGAAAGAATTCACCAACTTCATTGCTATTCAGATTCGTACTTCCACGTTAGCAAATTTCAAAAAGCTAATTCTGGTAACCCCTTCAGCAAAAATTGTGAAGGAGTACGAATCGGCAAACTCTAAGGCTTATGCAGTTGGAAGGCTGGTATATAAAGGTGAAGAACTAATGTACCATTCTGGAATAATTGTCACTAATTCTACTTTCTTCCTTGCAAGATCACCCACTAACAACATTGGACAACTTTCTGAGTTTGAAGAAGTCACTCCTCTGTTCAGCCCTATTACCACTAATTATCAGGTGTCATCAACAACATCAAGCCCAAGCATATCCACAAGTACTAAGACCTTCACTATTTCAACTTCATCCTCTATCACGACTACTGACATTACATCGTCGACCAATCCTTTGCTCACCAGATACGTGGCATTGTGGAACCAAGACCACTTCCAGACTGTCCAAAGCAACTCATTAGTGAAATTGGAATTCATTTGGGCCTGAGCTCAATCAACGAATTACACTGCCATTAGCTTCAGTCTAGCTCAAACTGGTTCCAATGCTATTCCTGAGTGGGTAAAGCTGGACTCAGACAATAGAGAGCTTCAACTTAACACCACTCCAAAGTTGGATACCAAAGAAGTCTTCTTCTTTTCTCTGCAGATCTCTTTTAATAGTGAAGTGCACTATAAGAAGTTTGAAATCACTGTAGAGGAGTGATCTATCCAGAACTGCGAGCTATGAACATTAGGCAACCACAGTATTTGAGGGACTTGATCAGATGGCTATCAAAGCTCTGATGAGCAGAAATCTTGTTCCAAAATAGGTGCTATGACTGGAACAATTGAGGCTGCTACTACTTTGGTGATATTGAGCGTCATACTTGCAAGTGCCTCATCTCTCCTGTCACTATCATCCATCAACTCAATCTTTAGCATCATGAACAGTCTACAGCTTGCAGTATTATTGCCTCTGGTTCCTGACTACTTTTCACTAAAAGTGCTAGACTTCTTGAGAGGAATGGCATTCGTAATGTTCTCATTCGACTTCATCAAGTTTAAGGATCTCCCATTTGTAGAAGCTCTTACAAATTGGGTGTCATACCCCCAGTCTGATGAGTACTTGAACAGCATTGGAATGAGGTCTGGGAGTTCAGTTGTCAATTATTTATCATTGATGGTCATTATCATTCTTGTTGGAATCATCCATCTTTGAATTTTTCTGTGCAAAATATGGACAGAGAACTCGAAACATAGAAGATGAAAGTTATTTTTCAATAAGCTGTTCAAGCTGCTAACTTTTAATATCTATATCAGAATATTCATGCAGGCATTTGTATTCACAACTCTCTCTATCTTCTCCGAGCTTTATAATCTCAATCTTGCTACAACTGTGACTAAAATATCCTTTGGTCTATGAGTAATGTTTGCTCTATGCACAAGTGTGCTGTTTATCTTATCATTTATAATGTACTGATTCTCTTTTCCTCAGATTGATAAAGAGAAATATTGGCTATGAATTGAATACTTTAATGGGATAAAATCAACCAAATATTCAAATCTCTATTCTAGCCTGTTTATGCTGGCGAGATTATTGATGACTTCATTACTTATATTTGGTCAAAATGCTCTTTCAAAAGAAAAAGCGATCTATTTCTACATTATAAACATTGTTTACTTAATCTATTTGATCGTTGTCAGACCGTTTGAGAATCTTCAGGATAATGCCATTGAGATAAATAACCAGACATTGTTTTGCTGTCTGGCAGTCCCGTTATCATGGCTTAATACAAAACAGGCCTGGACTCCATTCTACGAAAGCTATTACACAACAATATTAATGCTGTCTCCAGCTATTGGAAGCTTAATATGCCTTTGTTTCTTGATTAAATCAATAGTAGTTTATATAAAAAACAGGAAAACCAAGAAGAAAGAGCAGAATGTAGCTCCTAAGGAGCACTTCTCACCTCAAAGACCTCTCCAGACCCAAGAAAACCCTAATCCAAATCCTTCTTCATGCATTAACAACCAGTCCTCGATCATGAGCAGAAGCAATGCCCCTATCGCACCTCCTCTACCCACTCAAAGAGGACCCTATAAAAAATCTCGCCCCAATATAAGTCCAATGAGAAAGAAACTGAATAATCTCAAATAATTACATTAATAATATCTCAGTTTTGAATTCACACTCTGGGGTTTTGGGGTTTTGGGGTTTTGGGG